GAGCGGGTGGGAGAGGGCCCCCAGAGGTCCATATGGACAAGGTCAATGGGTGCAGGAGCGAAGGATGGGTGGCTGTGGTGAGGAGATTGTTTGAGTTTGCCGTGGATGCAGGAGGGGCATGGGGGGGCCGGGGAGGAGGGAAGGGGAGGAAGAGTTGGAGGGAGGCTGTGGAGAAGTCGTGAGGTGACGGCAGTGCGGAGAGCGGCAAAATTCGGATGGCCGAGTCGGTGATGTAGGAGAACAGCGGGGTGGGAGAGATGGTCGGAGGTGGAGGGGATTGGAATGAGTGAGGAAGGGATGGAGGAGTGGGGAGGAGACAAAGTGGGAGGAGAGGGAGGGAGATGGGGAGGGCTGGTGGAGGTACCCGCACGAGTGGTAACATGGCAGGAGGATGGCCACGGAGTGCGGAGAGTGTAGAGGCGAGTGCGAGGGCAGAGGGGTATGCGGAGGAGGAAGCGGCCGGAGGCAGTGTGGTAAAGGTCACAGTAGGTGGCATTACCAGGATAGACGGCAGTGATACCTGCACCTTGGATTTCACGGTGGGAGAGGAGGTTGTTTCGGAGAGTGGGGATGTGGAGACCAGTTACCTTGCCAGAGGGGAAGAGTGAACAGGGGAGAGTGGAGAGGTGTGTGCATGGGATGGTGAAGCTGCTGTCAGCACCGTGAACTTGAGTGGGAGGGGAGAGGGGTGTGAGTGTACCAGCGTCTTTGAGGGCGGTCTCAGTGGCCCCACTGTCAAGGACAAAGTCCAGAGTGGGTGAGGAGGAGGAGGAAGACACTGAGTACTGGAAAGTGGTTTCATTAATGTTGGATGGGTACATGGAAGGAAGAGAGGGCGAAATAGCTATGTTGCCAAGGAAGCTCTCGTGAGTGAGAGGGGTGGCAGTGCTACTGGGGGGGGGTGGGGCACCCCAAAGGGGGGCAGGTGAGGCTTGAGCGGCCATGGCTGCTGTGCCAAAGTTCAACTGCTGCTGCGGCCAGGGAGGAGGGCTGGGTCCCCACTGTGGCTGGGGTCCTGACCCCCATGGGTGCTGCGGCGGCTGTGGCTGCTGCTGCTGCTGCGGCTGAGGGTGAAACAGCTGCTGTAACTGCTGCTGCTGCTGCTGCTGCTGCTGGAGGTGCTGCTGCTGGAGGTTGAGGAAGGGTGTGGGGGGAGCAAGGAGGCGGAGGTGGGCTGGGAGGTAGGCTGGATTGGTTTGGATATCGGTGGGGGAGGGGCGTGGGGAGATGTTGCCCCACTTTGGAGGAGTGCCAACGTTACCCCGCGCGTACCAGGCATCGTCGAGAGCCTTGAAGCACGTGCCAGGGGGATGGTTGGTCTGTCCGCAGGGAGTTCCAGCCCGAGGACCATAGCGGCGGACATAGGTGCAGGGAGGAAGCGTGCCAGGGCGACTCCCGCGACTTGCAGTGGGTCCACCCGAAGTGGTGGTGCCGTGCTCATCCCCAGTGGTGCCACCACGGTTGTTGCTGCTTCCCGAACCACCACCTCCCTTGCCCCCACCTCCTCCTTTGCCGTTGTTCTTTCCCTGCTTGCGAGGCTGGGTAGCGTTGAGGGAGGAGGAGGTGGGTTGGGAGGAGGCGAGGTTGACGATGGGTGTACGGAGTTTAACTTCGGTGTCGATAATCCACTGTTCAACGGAGGCGAGACCGGCCATGGGATTGGCTTCGGTAAAGGCGTGGAGGCGGGATTCGTAGTCTGGGGTGAGGTTAAAGAGGAGGCGGTGGATTTGAAGAGGTTCGGAGAGGCCGGCCTGGCGGGCTTCGAGGCGATCAGCTACCTCGCGCATGCGTCCGACGTAGTCGACTGCTCCGTCACAGGTGGCGAGGGTGATGGAAAAATACTCTTGGAAGAGGATGCCGACGGAGCTGATGTCGCGGCGCTCAAACATGGCATGGAGTTCTGCCCAGATGACCGAGGCACGGAGTTCCCGAGCCTGGAAGCGACGCATGAGGGAGTCAGGGAGAGCTCCAAGGAGAACGGTGCAGGCACGGGTGTCAGCAGCTGTCCAGGCGATGAGTCTGGGGGTGAAGTCAGCCATGTCGACCTTGTATTTGGCGACGACCTCGAGGTGAGCGTCGCGACCAGCAACCGCCTGATCATAGGCCTCAACTGCAGCATCGTACTCGGCTTTGCGGATGAGGTATTCACGGCGGCGTAGGATAAAATCAGTGTCCGCAGTGGCTTGGTCGGGGGTGATCTGAAGATCGGGTTCACGAGGAGGGTCGCCAGGAGTAGGAGGAAGAGGAGGAGTCTCGCCGGGGTGGGGAGGTTCGGTGGGGGGGAGGGCATGGGGGCGGCGGAGGATGACGTCAAGGACACGGTAGGGGGGAACCCATGCGTCGGAGAGAACGCGTCGGATGCTGCCGACGAAGGAGTGCCAGTTGACTGCGGACTTGTCCGCGGCGAGCTGGAGCTTATCAATGAAGGACGTATCAATAGGGGGAGGAAGTGGGGAGGGGGAGGGTGTAGGAGTAGCCATGATGGACGGCTGCAGGTGGACCCGCAGTGGTCACTGAGGAGCAACGGCGACGAGGCCGCGGGGGGGGGGGGGGTGGGGAGGGGAGTGGCGCGGGCAGCAGCGGCTGGCGAGGCCGCGGCGGTTGGCGCGGAGGCGGCGTTGAAGCCGCGGAGGGGCGCGGACGGCGGCGGCTGGCGAGGCCGCGGCGGTGCTGGCGGGGAGGCGGCGTCGAGGCCGCTGGAGGGGAAGGCGCGGGCGGCGGCTGGCGAGGCCGCGGCGGCTGGCGCGGAGGCGGCGACGAGGCCGCGGAGAGGCGCGGGCGGCGGCTGGCGAGGCCGCGGCGGCTGGCGCGGAGGCGGCGACGAGGCCGCGGAGAGGCGCGGGCGGCGGCTGGCGCGGAGGCGGCGACGAGGCCGCGGAGAGGCGCGGGCGGCGGTTGGCGAGGCCGCGGCGGCTGGCGCGGAGGCGGCGACGAGGCCGCGGAGAGGCGCGGGCGGCGGCGGTTGGCGAAGCCGCGGGAGTGCCGGCGCGGAAGCGGCGACGGGGTCGCGGGAGGGAGCGGCGCGAGCGGCGGCGGCTGGCGAAGCCGCGGCAGTGCAGGCGCGGAGGCGGCGACGAGGCCGCGAGAGGGAGCGGCGCGAGCTGCGGCGCTGGCGAGGCCGCGGCAGTGCAGGAGCGGAAGCGGCGACAAGGCCGCGGGAGGGAGCGGCGCGAGCGGCGGCGGCTGGCGAAGCCGCGGGAGTGCTGGCGCGGAAGTGACGACGGGGTCGCGGGAGGGAGCGGCGCGAGCGGCGGCGGCTGGCGAAGCCGCGGCAGTGCAGGCGCGGAGGCGGCGTCGAGGCCGCGGAAGGGAGCGGCGGCGGCGACGGCGGCCGCAGTGGCGTTGGCGCGGAGGCGGCGTCGAGGCCGCGGGATGGGGCGGGCGGTGGCGGTCGGCGGGACCGCGACAAGGCGAGCGCGGAAGCGGCGGTGGGGCCGCGAGCCGTGATGGCGTGGGAGGCCGTGGGGCTGCGAGGAAGGGAGTGCTTGAGGAGAGGGGGAGGGTGGCGAGATAGCCGCGGAGAAATGAGAGAGGAGGCCGGGGGTTGCGGCGGCCTTTGAAAAAAAACTAGGAGCGTAGGCCTAGGATTTTTAAGAGCTCTATACCATGTGAGAAGAAAAGGTAGAAGAGAAGTTGTTGGTTTGATTGAAAGGATGGGGGGTTTACATAGGAGATGAGTTGGAAACTAGCCTAGGTGAACATTATTGGACCCCAACCAAGGAGTTGGGTTGGGAGATTATTGGTGGGGTCCAATAATGTTGGCCAAGTTGGAGTTGGGCCAACATTATTGGAGGGGACCAATAATTCTACCCATCCCAACCCTTGGGGTCCAATAATTGGACCAAGGTTGGGTTTCCAACCTACAAATTGGGTAACCCCTGCTTGTACACCCAAACTAAGTTTGGGTGCTTATCTCTAGCCTATCCTATAGCATATATGCAGGTTACAAGAGAGGAGATATTCTAACATGGATGGCCCGAAGGAGGAGGAAGCGAGGGGGAAGGGGGAGGTGGGCTGGATGGCCCGAAGGAGGAGGAAGCGAGGGGGAAGGGGGAGGAGGGCTGGATGGCCCGAAGGAGGAGGAAGCGAGGGGGAAGGGGGAGGAGGGCTGGATGGCCCGAAGGAGGAGGAAGCGAGGGGGAAGGGGGAGGAGGGCTGGATGGCCCGAAGGAGGAGGAAGCGAGGGGGAAGGGGGAGGAGGGCTGGATGGCCCGAAGGAGGAGGAAGCGAGGGGGAAGGGGGAGGAAGGCTGGATGGCCCGAAGGAGGAGGAAGCGAGGAGAGGTGGGTTGGATGGCCCTTAGAAGGGGGGCGGAAGCGTGGTGACGATGCGAATGAATGCGCTGACGGGCGAAATGCCCTCGGGAGCGGGATTGACGGGCGGAATACCCTTGGGAGCGGGATTGAGGGTCGAAATGCCCTCGGGAGCGGGATTGACGGGCGGAATGCCCTCGGAAGCGGAATCGATGGGCGAAGTGGTAGGCGCGGTCGTTGCGCGGATCGGCGCGGACGTCCCGCTGCTCGGCGCGTTCGTCGCGCGGGTCGGCGCGTACAAGCGCCTCAAAAGCCACGGGGAAAAGCCTGAGGGAGGGGAGCAGGCTGATGGGGCAAAGACCATGAAGCTGGCAAGAGGCCGAGGATCTCCTAGGGAGGGAGAAGGTGGCGTTAGCCAAAATAGCTCTATACCATGTGAGAATCCCATAGTTGGGATTAGGGGGTGAACTCAAGAGTTGGTATATTGATAAAGAAGAGCAGTACAAATAGGGAATGGGAAGAGTGACCAAAATCAGAGTTACCCCACACCATTATTGGTTGACCAATGTGGTGAGGGTCCAGCCCAATAATTGAGGTTGAGTCAATTATTGGAGGGGCCAAACATTGGAGGGGTTGGCCACCAATGTTGGCTCCCCAACAATAATGGTCGCCTGGGTTGTGGAAACCCAACCAAAAGTTGGGAGACCACCTCAATGTGTACACCCATGATTTGGGTGTACACTATTAGTTCTAGCCATATACATGCTATATTCTAACATTCGGAAATGGCAACATCACTATATAAGCTAAATTCATACACACAAAAAATGATTACGCATCACAAGGTGAGGCGTGTTACTTTTTGCGAGGTGTACAAACCAGCTCGCCCTTTGCCTCAATTTCACGCAATATCGCACGAGGCATTGCAGCCCCTGAATCCGTTACTCCAAGTCACCCCACCCACTTCCATTACGAACGCGAGACTTAGAAAGCTGCGCTCGATGCTAGTGAGTTTAGGTTGACGACCTAATGCTACTTCGTAGATCGATCCAGACGAGCTAAGATCTAGAACCCCTACCTTACTCTACAATTTTTAAATACGACCTAACTTCTTTACATCTCGCCAGGCTGTATCCGCTGCCCTGAACGGTCCTGTAGCAACATTTCGCCAAAAATATAGACCGAGGAAACAATTCCGCCTTTTTTTCACCAATTTTTTTTACCTGCCCGGACTTAAGGTACGCGTATTTACGCGTACGTAAACGTAAACGTAATGTTACGCGTAACATTACGTTTACGTAGGTCCAGGGACATACGGACCCATCTTAGCGTAGTAGGGCGGAGAGAATAAAGCAAGGCAGAGGCAGATGCAGTAAGAGGGCACTTGCAAGTTGCAATGCGCGTGGAAACATGGCGAGCCGCACCTGTTTTCCCTGCGCGGTCCAGAGGCGAGTGATGAGGCGAGTGGTGTACGTCTTGCCACAGCCAGGGCCCCCCGTGAGCACCATCACGTGTGCGATTGCTGCTGCCTCCACCGCCGCGCACTGCTGCGCCATGAGCTGCTGCTCTGTGTGCCTCGAGTACCAATATCAGCGCTCAGGGCTGTACGGATTCAAGAGGAAGAGAGAAGAGAGTGCAAGGACGAACCTCTGCTTGCACTGCAGAGCAGCATCCATGGCGACCCAATGCGTCCCAATGCTGGCCCTCATGTCACCACCCACCAGCCGCCCCCTCATCCACAGCCTTTCCCGCCCACCACCACTCTGCTCCGCCGCCTGCCCCTCCCACCTCCGCCGCTCTCGTTCTTCCCCACGTGGCCGCACCCCACTGCGCATTACCCACACTGCTCCCCCAGTCGGCGCCCACCGAGCATGAGCGCGCGGAGTAGGGTGGGGCGCTGCTGGTGCGGGGGGGGCGCGCGGGGCGAGGAGGAGCCGCGTGGACAGGCGCGGTAGTGTGGGAGAAGGGGCGCGCGGGGAATGGCGCGCAGCGAGGCATGAGCGCGGGCGACAGGCGTGCTTCACGAGGCGCGCGGCGTGGTGGGCAGTGCGGGCAGCAGCGGTCGCAGCAGGCGCGGCAGCGGAAGGGCTGCACGCGACGCTGCGGCAAGGGGGGGATGACGGCGAGACGGGTCACGGCGCGGGGGCGGGGGGCGTTGGCATGGCGCGCAGGGCGGGCGCGAGCGGCAGGGCATTGCAGAGTGGGGGGACGGCGGAATGCATGGCGAAGGGCGGGAAGGCGGCGAGGAAAAACGCGCGCGGGAAGGCGAAGAGGAGGAGGTTGAAGGAGCAGTAGGTAGGTGGAGCGCGCGTAGAGTGGCGCCCTGCCAGCCGCGCGCCGCCTCATCGACCTCGCCTCGCCTGCGCTGCGCCGTCTCCTCTGCCCCACATGCCCCAACCGCTGCCCCTGCTCCTATCGCGGCGAAAGTTCCGCCTTGGCGAAAAGAAGGGCGGGAAAGGCGCGCAATCCGCGACGAACTCACGCTGACGATGCTCGAGGGGGTGCCAGTGCTCAGCTACTCACACACGCTCTACGACTCAGCTACTCACACACGCTCTACGACTCAGCTACTCACACACGCTCTACGACTCAGCTACTCACACACGCTCTACGACTCAGCTACTCACACACGCTCTACGACTCAGCTACTCACACACGCTCTACGACTCAGCTACTCACACACGCTCTACGACTCAGCTACTCACACACGCTCTACGACTCAGCTACTCACACACGCTCTACGACTCAGCTACTCACACACGCTCTACGACTCAGCTACTCACACACGCTCTACGACTCAGCTACTCACACACGCTCTACGACTCAGCTACTCACACACGCTCTACGACTCAGCTACTCACACACGCTCTACGACTCAGCTACTCACACACGCTCTACGACTCAGCTACTCACACACGCTCTACGACTCAGCTACTCACACACGCTCTACGACTCAGCTACTCACACACGCTCTACGACTCAGCTACTCACACACGCTCTACGACTCAGCTACTCACACACGCTCTACGACTCAGCTACTCACACACGCTCTACGACTCAGCTACTCACACACGCTCTACGACTCAGCTACTCACACACGCTCTACGACTCAGCTACTCACACACGCTCTACGACTCAGCTACTCACACACGCTCTACGACTCAGCTACTCACACACGCTCTACGACTCAGCTACTCACACACGCTCTACGACTCAGCTACTCACACACGCTCTACGACTCAGCTACTCACACACGCTCTACGACTCAGCTACTCACACACGCTCTACGACTCAGCTACTCACACACGCTCTACGACTCAGCTACTCACACACGCTCTACGACTCAGCTACTCACACACGCTCTACGACTCAGCTACTCACACACGCTCTACGACTCAGCTACTCACACACGCTCTACGACTCAGCTACTCACACACGCTCTTCGACTCAGCTACTCACACACGCTCTACGACTCAGCTACTCACACACGCTCTACGACTCAGCTACTCACACACGCTCTACGACTCAGCTACTCACACACGCTCTACGACTCAGCTACTCACACACGCTCTACGACTCAGCTACTCACACACGCTCTACGACTCAGCTACTCACACACGCTCTACGACTCAGCTACTCACACACGCTCTACGACTCAGCTACTCACACACGCTCTACGACTCAGCTACTCACACACGCTCTACGACTCAGCTACTCACACACGCTCTACGACTCAGCTACTCACACACGCTCTACGACTCAGCTACTCACACACGCTCTACGACTCAGCTACTCACACACGCTCTACGACTCAGCTACTCACACACGCTCTACGACTCAGCTACTCACACACGCTCTACGACTCAGCTACTCACACACGCTCTACGACTCAGCTACTCACACACGCTCTACGACGTGACCATGCTGGGGAGATGCTCGAGGAAGGGCGGTGAGGCGATGAGGACAGGCTTCTCGCGCTCTCCGCATGGCCGCGTTCAACGCAGAGAACACGTGACCATGCGCCCGTGGCATAGCGGCAAGTATGAAGTAGTACTTCATTGCAGCGCCACTGCATCATCCCCCGCCATCGCCCTTGCTCCCACCAACTCTGTCACGCTGCCCACCTTCTCACATGCGGCCTTCCTTCTCTGGGTAGCTCGACGGCAGATCCATCACCTCCTCTCACCAGTGTCTAGCTACCGACATGCAGTGCTTGGTCAGACAGCTTTCCCTCCGCGGCGGAATTGGATCGAGAAATAACTATCGGCTAAAGCCAGGTCTTTAGGAAGTGGAACAACTTTGTGGCACAGACTTAGGACGGTCCGGTTGTCGCAAGGTAACGCATTTGCGAAGCTCGCATACATCCACGAAAATGTCGACCTTGGTCGACCAAACGAAGGACAACGATCCGAAACTTAACCACCCTCAACACTTCAGAAACAGTAACCCGCAGAATCAGCTCGCTCCAGTGCCCCGTGGCTCTCATCCTGTGGTGTTTGTTTCGTTCATCCGAGCGACCTTCGTTCACGGCTGCATGCGAAATTCACGCGTTGCCACGGATCCGGAGGCAGTCACTGTTGGGGAATCTGGATTTTTGGGACGATTCAACGGAGCGACCCTGGATGAGCCAGAATCGAAACTTACTGCCGGACGTAGGCCCTCACCGCCGCAGAGTACACGATGAGTGAGCACGCCCAACCCTAATTTTCCTTCGATTTCCGTGCCATCTCTTTCGTCCATACGTTATCTTCCATTTCTCCTCTACTTAGTAGCTGCCACACGCAATATAATACCCTTCGATCGATCATCTCGTCATCCGTGTCGTTCCTTCTCTCTATTTTGCTCCCATTTCTCCAGTGCTGAGTAGATCGCATGGGATATACGATGACGCTCCCGCGCTGTTCCAAACCCTGATTGTATTCTCCAATCGTTGTTTCCATCCTCAGCCGTCCCCTAGCACAAGATAGTTCCGCCATTGTTATTTCGAATCTCCATTATGAAGACTAGCACAAGCATCAGTAGTCTGCCGGACTGCCTCCTCCTTGACATCCTCAGGCGCTCCTGCAAGCATCCCGGCGCGCCATGCACGCCGTATATTGACAGCCGCGTGTGGACGACCACATCCGCAGATTCGGCAATGAATGATTATGTAGTCCAAGGCGATCTCATAGCCAAGACGCCCGTAGCATCCCCTCCGCCTCTCTCAGACGTCGCTCAGAATCTCCGCCTCGCGTCCGTATGCTGTCTTTGGCGCCGCCTGGCAAAGCTCCACGTGGCGGCTCTCTCCGTTAAAGCAGACCTCGTAGTGTCCTGCGAACATCTATCAGTCGCCGTCGCGTGCTTTCCGAACCTCACGAATCTCCATCTGGGTGAAAGCAGCTTCGGGTGGCTCGACGATGACTTCCTCGCTCACCTCGCGTCTTCATGCCCAATGCTGACGGCTCTCCACGTGGGAAGGAGCTGGCAAGTGCCCGATGAGTGTGCTTACGTGGTGGGAGGGAGGTGGCGATTGCTCGATGAGCGTGATTACCACGTGAGTCATGGTCGCACAAATGAGAAGCACCGGATCACTACAGGCGGCTTGGATGGGTTTTTTCAAAAGCTTCCCAGATTGAAGCAGGTTATCCTGTTCTGCCTCCACAAGAACACCGTGCTACCAGATTCCCTTTTTCAGCTAAGTCATCTGCACACCCTTCTGCTCACCAACACTTCAACTATGAAAAAGCCTGGTTTTGCAAACCTCACTGCTCTTACCACTCTGTACATCATCTGCCCTTGGAACCAACACCATCTGTCCACCCTTCTTCACCTCCCTAGACTCACCAATCTGTACACATTTGCTCCTCACGGTAACCATGGGTCTTTGGTTGCTGCAAGCGCGTCTCAGGCACCGTGTCTGAAATCGCTCAATTTCATGGCGTCTTGTCCCGACTTTAACACCATCTTCCCATCAACATCCCACTTCACTAGGCTAGAGGAGCTTTTGATCACTCGTTGCAATGAGCTAGTGACCGTCCCTGACCACATAGGAGATTTGCTGCCATCCCTTCGCAAGCTGTCCATTCGTCAGTGCAATCATTTCACTCACCTGCCTGAGAGCTTCACTTCTCTCAGCCGTCTGGAAGAGCTCGTTATCTGGTCCTGTACTAAATTCACCTTACCCAGCAACTTCGGTCACCTGCCTTCTATCAGATTACTGGTGCTGTTTAATTTTCGCTCCAGCGACCTCCCTCCTTCCTTGTGTCATCTCACGTGTCTCGAGGCGCTCGTTTTGGATGATTGCCGCTCGCTTTCGGAGCTGCCAGCCGGATTCTGCCGCTTGACGACTCTCAAGACTCTCTGCATAGCAAGATCGGAAGAGATTGGCCTGCCAGAGGACGTTGGGGCCCTCGCAAATCTGGAGGCTCTCAAGCTGTTAAACTGTCAGAACGATCCCCTTCCAGATTCCTTCACCCAGCTATCCTCCCTGACCAGCCTTGAGCTGAAATCATGTGGTTGTGACGAGCTTCCAGCCCTGGGGGCACTGAGCAGCCTCCGGGAGCTAAAGCTGGTGAATGTCTATATTTTCACACTTCCTAGCTCACTGACAAGGCTCACAAAACTGCAGATTTTGGAGGTGAAGCACTGCCAGTGGCTCTCCGAAGTACCCTCTCGGATGGATATGCTGGTGGGGTTGAAGACGCTGGTGCTGACCAAGTGTGAGGAGCTGAGTAGCCCCCCTGAGGCATTGCCGCCCTCCCTTGAGACCCTCTGCTTGGGGCCGTTCGTGGAAGGCTGTGACCATGTGGTGGACGTCTCCAGGCTGTCGCAGCTGAGGGTGCTCAAGCTGGATTGTGTTGGGGTGCGACACGGGCCTGCCGTGATCTGCAGGTTGCCGTGCCGCGAGCAGGAGGGGCAGGAGGAGCAGGTGCGGCAGGTGGTGCAGGGGGAGCAGGGGGTGCAGGGGGTGCAGGGGGTGCAGGGGGAGCAGGGGGTGCAGGGGGAGCAGGGGGAACAGGGGGAGCAGGGGGAACAGGGGGAACAGGGGGAGCAAGGGGAACAGGCGGAGCAAGGGGTGCACGGGGAGCAGGGGGGAAAGGGGGTGCAGGGGGAGAAGGGGGGAAAGGGGGTGCAGGGGGAGCAGGTGGAGCAAGGGGGGCAGGGGGAGCAGGGGGAGCAGGGGGAGCAGGGGGAGCAGGGGGAGCAGGGGGAGCAGGTGCTGAATCTGGAGACGCTGGAGATGCGTTTAGATTACCGTGAAAAGCTAGAGCTCCCAATCCCCTTGACTTTTCTCCCTCGCCTGCGCAGCTTGCTCATAGATGTGCCTGGTCTCTGCAGCCTCCCGGAAAGCATGGGGGCAGCCATGCCACAGCTGCGGCACCTGGAGCTTCGTTCTTGGTCTCCGGAGGAGCTGCCTGAAAGCATTGGAGAGCTCCGTTCCCTGATGTCACTCACGATTGAAGCGCCTCAGCTGGTGGCGCTACCTCAAGGCATGACCTGCTTGTCTCGGCTGCGCAGACTGAATCTGAAATGCTGCTATGCGTTGCGGCAGCACCCCAAGAGGCTTTTCCACCAGCTCACCTGCCTGCAGCAGCTGGTTCTCAAAAGTACCCCAGGTGGACACCTCCCCGATTACATGCTGTTCGATGATGACGAGCCTGACTCGCCTGGTTGCCTTTAGCTGGGAATTTCTCACGTGCGCCTGACTCAGTTGGCGGTGCGGTGCAGCAGAGTCTCAGAGGCTGCTGCCAGGAAGTAGGCTGCTAGCAGCACGTGGACAGCATCTTGTATGCTCCAATGACAGTGTGCTCTCGTCTCATCCTGCTTGCAATGCCACGGTGGTGGGTAGGGAGGGACGGTTGGGTTGCAATCTAGTGTTCAGCCACTGGCACGGGAGATGAGATGAGTGATGATACGGTGAGGTAGGCCAGTTGTGTGCTCTGCAAGCTTTCCTGCCTTGCAGTGACATGTTCTGTTGCTTGGTTGATCAGAAAGGTGACATGCAAACTTCCTTTGCATGCATTGTGTTTAGACAATGTTGTCCGATTGGGAACAACTACGGCATAAAGGCTTTGGTAGAGAGTCTCTGCTTGTTTGCTTCACTGAAGAGAAAGATTCATTCGCCAAAGATGTAGACGAATATACAGCACATCAGAGAAGAGCTGCCAAAGTGGATAGGCCACCCTGTCTGTCAACCTACCAGTACCCTATTACGAGATGAAATGATATTGCAAAATAACCTATTGCTATCACTGTTAGATAGGTACCTAGACAGCCCTACTGAAGTATTGATCAATGAATTACTCTACAGGGGGTGGAAACATGTGTTTGAAACCCACGTGTTTGAAACCCACCTACCAGGGGGCAGTGGTAAGTGAGTGCTCGCAAGGTAATCCCTGTATGTACGGACCAACGGACAAGTCAACGTGGGTGAGCCAGAGGAAGCGGATGCCAGCACAACATCACTGAACACGGGCAGCGACAATGCAAGGGGAGAGAAGTGGGGGGAGGGTAACAGAAAACAACAGAAACTGTTTATGCGTGAGTGAGGGTATGAGGGTGCATGTGTCTCAGCTGAGCAGGCAAGAGACGGCCAGGGGACGGGGCCGAATACAGCAACGGCTCATCCGTTGCAGTCCGAGCGATACTTCATCGGTGCGGTTGAAATCACCGCAGCTGCTGCGGTGCTCCCCAGGCACGTCCTTCCCACTCCCCTAGCTGCTGCGGTGCTTGACTCTTGCCATGCCGCCATGCTGGTGAGTGAGGGAGAGAGGGAGGGAGAGTGGGGAAGGAGGAGAGTGAGGAAGACTACGAGGGAGTGGGACGGACAGAAAAAGAGACCATGGCTTATGCTCGGACTGGTGCTTCTGCCCTTGTTCTCCTCTGACGTGGCAGTGGGCCATTAGCCCTCAGGTGCAGCTACAAGCAGCAGTGCGGCGCAGAGCAGGAAAGGGCATGGGCGGGGAGGGAGTGCATCCAAGTGCAGCGTGGGGTCGTGCATGGGGATGCGGAGCCTCTTGCTCTGCACCTGCCACCGCCACTTGCGGGGGGCGCAGGCGGATGGGCAAGCGGGGAGGGTGGAGACGGGAGGATGCCGAAAGGAGGAAGATGGGGGGTTGGGTAGTGCGGAGCGTTGCTGGGAAGATGGATAGGCAGAGAGAGACGCGGGAAGTGGAAATGAGGAGAAGTGCAGCGAGGCCAATCACCTCCTCTTGCTTCTCTCGTCCATTGCACCCCTTCCCTCCCCCCAGCCCCCCATCCACCACACCTACTGGGCACCATGGGTGGTCGAGCCTGCTTTGGGAATGCTTCCGCCCACCACCACCACCACCACCACCGCCGTCACTCGCAACCCCACCGGCACGGAAGAGGCGTGAGCGGCATATGGGGGGAGTGCGAGAGGGAGCACAGACAGAAGGATGGAATGTGAAGGTGTGATGGTGGCTCTTGCTCCTCACTGCATCGTGCAAGCGCTCCAACTCCACCCTTCTCGCATCCCCTCAGATGGTAGCCCCCCTCTCGAGCCAGCAGCTGTGGTAGCCCCGTCGCCTTCCCCATTGTTCTCGCCCTTGACGCTGCCACAGCCGCGGGCACACCAGTGCTGCCTTGCACCAAGGCAGCTGCGCCACACCCTAAGCTGCCGTCAGCTGCTGGCTCGCATGTCACTGCTGCCTTGCACGACCCCGGCCCCAGCTTTGGTGAACCTCATCTGCACGCACCTCTGCGCGGGTAAACCAAGCAGCACGCGAGCATGCCGCCCGTGCCTCGTCGTGGCAGCAGAAGGCAGCGCCGCCCACCACTGTCACCGCCTTTTGATGCGCCTCGAAAGACACAGGGGGGAGGGGAAGGGAGGGAGGGGAGGGGAGGGGAGGGGAGGGGAGGGGAGGGGAGGGGAGGGGAGGGGAGGGGAGGGGAGGGGAGGGGAGGGGAGGGGAGGGAAGTGGGGGGGAGGAGAGGGGGAGGGGAAGAGAGGAAGGAGGGGGGAAGAGGAAATGGAGGGATTTTTTTTTTTTAGGCGTTTCAAAGATCATGCTTGGCCGTCACCAGCACTGCCTCTCTCCTCGGCTGAGTCCCACCTGGCATGTTGGGTATGCTCCCTGGGAGGGACGAGCCATACCTGGCCTCATAGAGAAACTGGGTTGGGGAGAGGGAGGAGTGGAATGGGACGGGCTTAGGGGGGAAAGGGGTGAGTGGAAGGGGAGGAGAGGGGGAGGGGAAGAGGGTAAATTGGATAAAACCTCACTCACTTCCCTGCCCTCCAGCAACCCCCAGGAGGGACGAGCCGTACCTGGCCTCATAGGGAGGGGGGAGGGGATAGGGGATCAAGGGAAGGGAGCTTTTGCCGCGTCCTGCTTCTCCCCACGCCCAGATTGCCCCTGGCTTGCCCTGGTTGCACAAACCCCATGGCGCGCCGCATTTCGTGCGCGCTGCTGCCACTCTGGTGAGGGCCAGAGGGGGTCGGGCCATGGGGGAGTGGGGAGGAGAAGGGTGGCGGGTCGGGCGGATAGAGAGGGGGAGGCGGGTGTGGGAAGTGGGCAGGAGAGAGGCGGGCAGAGAGGGTGTGGTGGGCAGGAAAGGGGGAAGGTGATGGAAAGAGGGGGTCAGCAGGGAGGAGAAGAGGGCGCGAACACGAAAAGCAGAAAGGTGTGGGAGCAAGGGCAAACATGCACCCACACGCCCACGCACGCACGCACACACGCAAACCTGCTGCTGCGTAGGCTGTAGGTCAGTGAGCCCCTGCTGTGCCGCCAGCTGATGCCTCAGCTGAGAAAGTGCTCACGTGACAGAGGGCAAACATTGGGGCTTACGAAAAGCCCCAATGCCAGCACAGCACAGCACAGCACAGCACGGCACGGCACGGCACGGCACGGCACGGCACGGCACGGCACGGCACGGCACGGCACGGCACAGCACAGCACAGCACAGCACAGCACAGCACAGCACGGCACGGCACGGCACGGGTGGCGGCTCGTGCCTCGCCCCAAGCGGTGGACGGCAGCGCCACAACCGTCCCCCCTCCCCCACTACGGCCTCCCCTCCCCCCCACCCCACCTTCCCTTCTCCCACTGCGCCCTCCGCTTCCCACCTTCCCCCTCTCCACTGCGCCCTCCCGTCCTCCCCCCCCCTCCCCCGTGACCCCGTCCCCATTGCGCCCTCCCCTCTCCATCATCCCCCTCTTCCCCGCTGCGCCTTCCCCCCACCACCTCCCCCCTCCCCTCCGCGCATTCCCCTCCCCGCACCCCCCTCGGCCACCTTACCTGGTAACCACGCGTCGTTCGTCGCGGCGGCGGGCAGCGCCGCGCGCTCCTCCGCGCGCACTCCCGCGCGCACAGCAAGTTACAGTCGCAGCTTTCTTTCTTTCCTTATCCTGGACTTTCACCTCCGCGCACGCCTACGCGCGGATGAAACAGGCAGCATTCGAGCATGCCGCTCGCGCCTCGTCCGTGGCGGCTGAAGGCAGCGCCGCCCACCGCCATCGCCGCCTTATGAGGCGCCTCGAAAGAGTGGGTGTGGGAGTGCGACTCGCTCTGAGGAGAAGGTGATCGGGTCTCGGCTCTTGATCCTCACGCCACCGCGCGAACCCTCACATTCCGCTCCTCTCGAATTCCGCCTACCGTGCCAGCAACTGACGCAACGATGCCGCCTTCCCCATCCTTCGCGCCCTTCGCGCCTGCATTGCATGCAATCGCGCTCAGGTCGGAGGGCGCGCGAGAGAACGCGCGCGCGTAGCACTGGCGCCATTGGGACGAAGAAGCGAAAGCTTTAGAGAAGCGCGGTCAGAGCGTCGAGAGGGCTACGCGTCGTCTGCGCCACTCCCGGCAAGGGGACGACGGGCGTAAGAACATGCGAGTGGGAACGAGAGAGCTTGTCGGGACAACGGGGACAGAACAGCCCGCGATCAACGCGACGACGTCGCGAGACGCATCACCGCTGATGTGATGCCGCGCTGGATTGATAAGAGCCAGGACTGCTTTCAACCCTTGGTTGGCTGGTGAGAGCCAGGCGCTGGTGACTGGTGAGCTTGTGTGAAGGGATGAGCAAATTTGGGACGCGACAGCTCTAGCAAATTTGCTTTACGGTACGAAGTTGCTTCACATGCCCAATGTTGAGGTGGTGGGGGAGTGGTGGCTACGCACCCACAAACGAGTACGCTGTCATCACGTTCTTGACGACTCACATCCCCTGGACACGAAGGCACCATTGGTGAACCTCTCCTTACACAGAGTTTCGTCCGTGCACCCACCATCGCGGTTACGTGCAGGAATCTGGCGGGAATGGCTCGACAAAAAACGATCGGTTGAGTGCGGTGCCAAAGCCAATCCCAGGGGTTTCTTGTTGAAAAGGCCGTGTCTGGGCACCCCCCAAGGGATATTTCTGACCTGACGCCTCCCTCTGACTGGCCTTGCTTCTTGACAAGTTTATGCTGAACTCCGCTTCCTCGATTAGTAGCAAGCAGCCATTGATCGCTTCACAATGTCAGTCGGGTCGCCAATCCAGCGGCTACCGGAGGAGCTGCTTTCTCGGATCTTTTATTTTCTGGTTCGACCTGATGGGCAGTTGGAGCACGCACTCGTCTCCAAGCAATGGCATCGCGTCGCGTATTGCACGCAGTACGAGCTCCACTTGCGCAGTAGCCTCCAAATGGAGCCGCGTCGCTTCCTCCAACTTCTGTCTTCGTTC